TCAGCAGGCGCCTGGGCGGGTGCTCGGGGCCAACAGGCTCCGTCACAGTCCCAGTACACAGTCTCCTTGGGACCCTGGGCCACCCCAGGGCGTGAGCGGTGAGCGTCTTCTCAGGCCGCCGGTCAGTCCAGGTGCCCAGTGGGCAAGGGCGCCTTCCTCCCCTCTGGCTGCAGGGACGCAGCTGGTGCCAGCGCCCTGACCTCCCCGGGCTTCCCTGTCTCCGTCCGTGGAGGGCGGTCACCCTGCCTTCCTTGCGGCATTGATCACGTGAGGGTTAAATGAGTGATGACGATAAAGAGCAGGACTGCCTGGCCGGCAGGGCTCGGTTGAGCGTCCACCCATGAACCAGGAGGTCCCGGTTTGAGTCCCGGTCGGGGCACAGGCCGGGTTGCGGGCTCGATCCCCAGTGGGGGCCGTGCAGGAGCCGATCCATGCTTCTCTCCCATCCTGATGTCGCTCTCCCTCTCCCTTCCTCTCTGAGATCAGTAACATTTTAAAAAGAGCGGGTTCCTCCGCCCCCTGTGCCAGGCCCTGCTCACCTGGCGCCGGAGGAGCAGGTTGCCGGGAAGCCGGCATTTCCTCGGGGCGCCTGGCGTTCCCAGAAGCCCCTGAGCTCTGCCTTCCTTGGGCCTTCGGAGACCCTGCCCTCTGCCCCCCCCCCAATGCTCCGTGCCCTCCTGCGTCGGGGGTGCTCCCCAGCAGCCAGCCTGAACCCCCCTCCCCCCGCACGCACACCCTGCACTCCTGGACGCAGCCCCTGCTCCTGTCTCCGCAGAGAGCTTCTCTGGCATCTACTGCAGCCACCTGCCGCTGGGGTGCTGGTCCGCGGACAGCCAGCGAGTGGTTTTCGACTCTGCTCAACGCAGCCAGCAGGTGAGGGGCCCTGACTGTGCTGAGAGGCGGCCATGACCCACCCCCGGGCCCCTGGGCCTAGGGCCCCGTGTCTGCTCACCGCTGGCTGCAGTACCGGCTACCAGGCCTCGCCCGCCCCTAAGGCCCTGCCGGCCCGTCCTGGCTCAACTTGTCCTTGGGGCTCTGGCTGCCCTGGTGGCCCCGGTGCCGTCCTTGGTCGTGGTGCCCTGTAGCGGCCATGACAGCTTCCCTGGCCTTCATCCTCCGTGACACAGCTGCACCCCTCCCCCAGGCATCACCGGCTTGGGACGAGGGGGCTGGCACTGGGGGGCCCTACACCCTGTACAAGGAGTGATAGGGGGGCAGAGACCTTCTCCCAGGGGGTGTGCCAGGCCCCTGTTGGGTGTGATACCATGTGGTCCGCATTCTGGCTCAAAGGCAGCCCTCACACTGCCCAGGGTCACTCGCACGTTGTGACGGGCTAGGATTTGAACCCAGTCCCTCAGGCCGCTCCTTCCTGTCCTGAGTAGCCGTCACAGTTGCTCACAGCCCTGGCCTGGCTCAGGCTCCCTGAGGGGCGAAGTGGGGGGCGGGACCCACAGGGCCCTGGGACATTAGGCCACACGTGGCTCCTTTCTGCTCAGGACCTATTTGCTGTGGACACCCAGGTGGGCACTGTGACCTCCCTGACGGCTGGTGAGTGGGGGGCCGAGCGGGCCAGCCAGGCCAGGGGTGGGACTGGGGCTTGCGCTCGGGCAGCGGTGGCCCTCGGCCCCTGTGCCACCGAGTGTCCTGCAGCCTTTACTGCCAGTGTCACGAGGACCCTGACCAGCCAAATGCCTGCCTCCCCTGCTCCCCTCGGCTCCATGTCCTGCCCACCTCAGAGCGGCCCCACCCTGCTGCTCAGCCTCCGCAGCCCTTAGGCACAGGCCGCCCTGCCACCAGCCGCAGGGGAAGCCCTGCCGGGCGCCCTCTTCCTCTTACAACCACTGGTGACCTGCCCTCCAGCCCTTCTGCCCCGACCTGACTCACTCCTCCAGGCTTCCGGGGTCTCGTCCCCGGCTGCACCTCACCATAAGGCCCTGCTCAGGACCCTCCTCGGACCCCTGGCCGGGATCTCACCCCCGGCCCCGGTCTGGCTGCCCTCATCGAGTGGGGATGGGCTTGGCGTGGGGTCCGGGTGTCCCGGGTCGAGC